TTAGATGCTGGTAGCGTACTCCCCTCCCTCTCAGTTCATGACATTCAAAAATGTCTTCAAACGTTTTCAGATGTTCCCTGGCATGCATAAGCAGTCTCAATTCAGAACCACTGCTTTAGAAGGAAATGAGACTAACTAGAGGAGGAGCCCGCAAAGGAGACCAGGAAAGAAGTGAGGCAGGAAGAAAACCAGGAGAGCAGTGTCATAGAAGTCAAGGGAAGAGAGTGTTACAGGCAGGTAGAAGCCAGAGGGAGTGGTTAACAGGAATAAATGCTTCTGAGAATGCAAGGGAGCTGAGAACTAAGATCTTCCTCTGGATTTAGTACATGGATATCACAGTAACCTTGTCAGGAGTTTTTAGGGGAGTGATGGTGGGGGGGACCAGACTGCATGATACTTGAGAGTGAATTGAAGAAATAAGAGATGTTGTGAGCAAGACGAGAGGGGCACAGCTAGTGAATGGAGCTGGATTTTTTTTCCCCCTGAGATGGGGGCAGTTAAGTATGTTTAAATGTCCTTGAAGCAGGTATGTGTATAGCATAGATTTAAAAGCATGCCTCATATAGAAACTTCTGCTGAACTTCCAGACTGGTTTAATAGTAAAAGTGATAATATCTATCAGGGATTTTTAAAATTATGTTTATATATTGGCATGGAAAACACATTTAATTCAAGTGTTATGTAAACTTTTTAATGATTCTGGGTAATGGTGAAACTTAGAAATAAGCAGTGCTCTTTTCTTATTTCTCTCTCCTTGGAAATCTCATCCCCACAAAGTTGTATTAATCTGTATACTGTTGACTTTCAAATGTATGTATAGTCTGGATCTCTTCTGAGTCCAGAGCCACATAACCTGCTGCTGCCTCAGGAACAGTAATGAGTATCTCATTAGCGCCTCTGAGAGCTGACTGGGCCTCCCGACTTGTCCTTCTGTACATCCTAGTCCTCTCCAGTGACCTGTTTCTCATGACTGAACGGCACTGCCCTCCATCCCTTAGGGCACGTCCTTATGCCACCTTCTCCCTTTAGTCCCATGTTCACACTGTCAGATTTCCTCCCATTTTCCTGTCTCTTTCTATCCCACAGAGGTGTCAGGTACAAGGTGATTGAGTCTTTGCTTACTTCATATTTTAACCTGCATTTTGTAATCTTCATGATAGCAGTCTCAGAAATGACAGCATGGGTCTCTAGGAGTTCAAAGTTTCCAAAAGCCTGCCTCTACCATGGCCACTTTTCTCTTACTAGACGACAAGCTCTGAGGGCAGGGACTGTGGCTGGCTCATTCACTGCTTTGTCTACAACTCCTAGTATGGCTTCTTATTCATGATGGAACTTGGTACAGATGTGATGGATAGTGAAAATGCAGAACAAAAAAAAAATTTAGAAGCACCTGCCCATCACCCCCACCCCCCACTGCCCCTCAAACTCCACCAAAAGGTTACATTAACTTCTAATGTCTGGTGTGTCATACTTTAGAACTTAAAGGTTTGGTTTTTCTTTTTAGATACAACCGAAGGAAGTACTCAGAGATAATGGCTGAAAAGGCAGCAAATGCAGCAGGAAAGAAGTTTCGAAAGAAGAAGAAGTTTCGTAATTAAGATTCACCAGGCAAATCACAAAATTGTACATCTCCTCTTTATTTATTTACTAAAGATAATTTAAAAATTAGCACGACTGTCACATAAAATAACATAGACTGACTGGCACTATCGGGGGGATTTCTCTTTAAAAAATTCATTTGAGAGAACCAGTCACATGCCGCCTGGAATAAAAATAGGTGTGTCTACAAAAGATCCACTCATGTTTAGACCCTTTGAAGAGGGAAAAAAGGAAAAGAACCTCAATCAAAATATGTAGAAAATATAAAGTTTGCTGACATTCAAAAAATTTAGTATTTTCAAAGATGCATAAGTAATACTGTAATTATTATGTAGAGATGTACATAGGGAGGAGATGATGCCCTATGTCAGTTGCACATTCAAGTCCAGAAAACTGGTAAAGCTGGGATACAGAGATCTTGTTACAAGTATAAAAGTCACAGTTGAAGTCAAAGAAATGTTGTAAGTGTTGGAGCATGTTTGTGTTAATATATAACCAAAGAACTAAATGAAGCTATGAAAAGGTCTTAAAAGATAGACTACTTGGAAAGTTTGGGTTAAAGGTAGAAACAGGAGATCTATTTTATTTCCTTAGCAACTGAAACAGGAGGAAAGATAGATTTTTATCCATATTCAATGTTGTGTTCCAGTGAATAGTATTCAGATAATTTTAACTTGGCCAGGAGGTAAAGTCTCCAGTGGCAGAAATATTCATCCTGGCTAAGCTACTCATGACCCCCAAGGAACATTAGTCATTTCTATTCATGCTTCTTGGTGGCTTATTGCTTCCTTTATGTTGTTATTCACAGGGCCTCTCTTTTCTACCGTACTGCTTTCTTGGGGTTTCAGTAAATAAGAAACTTCCTATTTTGTGTTTATTGCTTAGGATCACAATCAGCCTAGTAATAAAACTAAATGACATTTATAGGTGGAGTGAGGGAATCATCTGTATCTATTCATTTTTATAGTAAAGCTTTTATTTCAAGAGTATTAAGGTTTACATTAAGGACCTGCTATGACAGAATTAACTATCAAAACAAGAAGCACTTACCTCATACACGTTCTTCCAGGAGACATTGTTAGCGGAATGTTTCTTCAACTTATGCTACTGGGGTTTTAGAACACTCAAAACTGGTGGCCCTTTTGTATTGTGTTTCTCTGTGCAACTGAGAATTTACCCAGTTTTCTCAGGCTCAAGGGGATGGGTCAACTTTTTATCCACTTGTAACTTGCATGCTGGTTTCATTCATGACTCATGAATGCTAGAATAGGTTGAATTATATGGTATTCAAAACTGCAGTTATGACAGATATTTGGGACCTATAGTGCCTTTACAGGGAGCACAAAATTGGAAATCTCCAATCCTTCCCACACAGGGCAGCATTTGAGCTTTCTAGATTGGGAAGCAGTGATAAGAGAATTGAACCTAGGTGCTAACCTCACTAACCCACCTTAAGGGTGCTCACAAAATGTATTCTGATAGCTGACCCTTGAACAAAGGGGTGAGGGACTCTGACCCTCAAGCAGCTGAAAGTCAAAAACTTAAAGTAGGCCCTCTATATCCACAGTTGTACATCTGAGAACCACCTGGTCAACTCCAGCAGAACATGTAGTACTTTAGTATGGATTTATTGGAAAATCTATGTATAAGTGGACCCACCCAGTTCAAACCTGTGTTGTACAGGGCTCCACTGTATTTACCTACAGTTACATTGTAACATGCTCTTTTTTGTCTCCATTGATTCTTTATTTTATATGTATTATCTTTAAGTTTATACTTTATTCAGATTTTCTTAGTTTTTTACCTAATACTCTTTCTTTTCCAGGATACTGCAGTCTTCTTTTTTTTTTTTTGGCTGCACTGCAAATTATACAGAATCTTAGTTGCCTGACCAGGTTTTGAACCTGCACCCTCTGCAGTGGGAGCATGGAGTCTTTGCCATTGGACCACCAGGGAAGTCCCTTTATGTATTTTTTAAAGTCATAAATAACTTGGAACAAAGTAGAGAGTTATCAACAAATGTAAAATACCTTATTCAGTGAAATACTGAAATAAACTGAAATACGTCAACTAAAAATCAATTTAAGTCACCTCTATTAACATTTACTTTAAGGGATTAAAATTGGTAAGATGCATAGCTATATCTCAGATACGATCTTCACAAGTTTAAATCTTCAAAACAGAGTATCAAAGTATATCTAGGTAAAGATGAGAAGGAAGTCTCTTAGTGCCCTCAGGCTTCTACAAAAATCTATATTTGAATAATGGATGTATTTGTCATGTTTTTTTTGTTTGTTTGTTTTTTTAAGCAAAGCAACCATTAAGAAACAGGTTTAGTGACTTTGGCTTATCGGTTCACTTACTGGAGCTATTTGAAGGCTAATGACTATCAGAAGTACCGTGACATTTGTAAAGTGTACTAAGTGCTAATACAGTGAAATCAGAGAAGAGCCCTCAGAAAACCTTAAGGAGCTCCTGAAAGACGCCGAAATGCTTTTAGGACAACTTACAAATAGTCTGCGATGCTACTTTTGGTTGTTTTGTTGGGGGGGGGGGGGGTGTTTTTCCTGAAGTAAGGAAATTAGGGAAAGGAAAATGAAGATGGAAGAAAATAGAAAACTAGCAGTTGATGAAGGCAGGTTCTCAGCTTCCTAGAATCTTAACACAAAAATCAGCTCTGTTCAGTGTTCTGCCATGAGATTAAAAACAACTGCTTTAGAGAAACACCATTATACCTGTTTTTAAGACCTGAGGAAATGTCTCATGGGTTCCCTAACAAGGCTGTCAGACTACAAGCCATGCTTGGCTGTTCAGAGAATAAATAGGCTTTAAGAAAGGCTGTACAGAAACATTTAATGAAACTTTGAGCAACTGGGATAAATTCAAGGGGTTGCATTCTAAATCTAGCAAATATAAGAAAAACTCACAAAAAATTTTCAGTACCATCTTTGGAATATGTGCAGGTGCCCGTTCAGTTCAGTCTCTCAAGTAATGACAACCACTGTTTAGAATAACCATCTACAACATCTTACAGAAAGCATGCACTTAGGATTGAAACAAAATGATTTACAAACTCCCCAAAGCATCTGACTAGAATGTAAAATTCAGGTCTCATTGTTTAAAAGTGAAGACAGAATGCATTCAAATTATAATAATTTCCCTGAAGCACAGTCAGTAGCATGACTTGTCTTAAGCATCAGTGTTTTATCAGAGTTGGAATGTTTCAAACTGTGAAATGTGAGTTATCTAAACTCATAGTTATCTAAACTGTGGAGGTGGTTCTGAAATGTAAAGTTACCAATAAACACTGAACACCGCCGTGAGAAAGGGGAAACTTATAGGTTCAGGTGACAGTGTTCATTCCTTATCACCGTGTAACAAATTGCCCCAAGACTCAGTGATTCAAAACAGCCACTGTTTTACTCAATCTCATGATCCAGTGGGACAGGGCTGGGCTAGATGACTTGTACTCCACATGGTATCAGATGAGGTCATTCAGCTGGCTGAGCAGATCTCGAAGACCTAACACATTCTTGAAATTTTTCATCTTCGGTTTAATGGTAGTACAGTATAGAAGGCCTTCCCCAGTGGCTCATCAGTAAAGAACCCGCCTCCCGCCTGCAGGAGACACATGGGTTCAATCCTTGGGTCAAGAGATCCCCTGGATTAGAAAATGGCAACCCACTCCAATATTCTTGCCTGAGAATCCCATGAATGGAGGAGCCTGATGGGCTCCAGTCCATGGGGTCGCAAGAGTGGAACATGACTTGGGGACTAAACAACAGCATAGAAATTGGCTAGAAAACCGAAACATGACCCACACCTTCTGTGTGGCACTGCACAGTATTTAGGAAGTCCTTCTCTTCTCCATCTGCCTTCTTCCTGGTTATCCCTCCTAAGGGAAGAGGAGCTGCTAACCAGATAGGTGAGCCTAAGATACCCATTAGGCTATACTTTCACAAATAAATAGGGCTGATGTATTAACAGGTCAGAAACCATCTGCACTTGGTCACTTGCCCTGTTAGGGGGCAGGCCTATCATTCTCTCTTCCAAATTGGGAAATCAGAATTTGGGCTTTCCTGAGCCAGGCTTTCTCTGTGAAAGGTGAGGGATGACAGGGGCATAAGTCACTTAATGGCAGCCTACCTGAGAAGTCTGCAGTCACGGTGCTCTTCTGAAGCTATTACATGAGTGGTATTCTTGTTTTCCGTTGATTCATCTTCCTTACGGTTACAGCCTCCTGGGCAGAATTGCAAAGCAGAGACTGGTATGGTTCAGGTGCCAAAATCTTGACCTCAGATCCCATGCAGTGTACTCAGATTCTGAGGTCTTGTTCATTAAGGGAAGAAAAGTGACCATGGATTATGAAAACTATAATTAGATTTAGTTCAATTACCATATGAACTTTAGTTCCCAAAAACAGGACTATTACAAATGACTATGGGGTGTTCCTCAACCTTTGTCAGTGGCAGGAAAGAACTATGTGCATGCAGTCATCTATATGAAGAACTGTTTGTATGAAGTTTTGTTCAGTCCCTCCCTCCTACATCCACTCCTCCACCCCCATAACTCAGGGGAGTTCTCAGGAGTAATGTACTAAGAGAACAAAAACAACGTACACACTGTAGTTAATAAAGTGTTTCTATATGTTAAAGTTTTACCAGGAAAACCTATTTTTTCCCTTAAATGTATGTGTATACATTTTTATGTGTACACAAATCCAAGTGGCTGGCTCTGAAACAGAGCTAGGAGAACAAGTCATGGCTTAATTCTGTAATGTAAAGCTCATCCAAACTTTAGCTGATGTAGCTGTAACATCTGCCCTTCCAGCCAAGTCTACCACTTAACCTGCTTCAACTGTCAGCTGCCCCCACCTGCCAGGAGGGACGTGGATATCCAAGTGAGGTGAAAAGATAGTATCCAAGTGAGGTGAAAAGATAGTACACAACTGGCCCAGTGCCTCTCCTCATGCTGTGGTAACTGCTGAGTCATGACTTAAACCCTTTCACACATTTTACTTGACTATAGTCCTTTAAGGTTGACTTGGTTTTTCCTTTAGTGAACATCATTATCCTGATCTGTCCAAAGGCAACTGAACCAAGACAAGCCTGTGGTTTTTCAGGCTCGGCTTCATCAATTCTAGTCACCCTATTTCCACTCCACCTCAGTCAGTTGCCATCATGGACTTAGACTCACTGCTTGAAACTGTTCAGTAGTCAAGATTCTGGACTTTGACTATCCCAGTCTGTTCTCCTGTTAGCCTTCCCTCCAGTTTGCTCTAACCCAACCTTGACCTGCACTTTGGAATTATCTGAGGTGGTCCCAAAGTCCTGTAGACTCCAAAGACTATAAACTCCTGATCTCAAGTATTTCAGCCCCTCCCAGTCCTCCAGCCCCATCAGGATACATTTTCCTCCCTAGTCAATCTGGATCCATTGGTGAGACGTTTCTTTATCTCTTTTTTTTTTTCCCCCTGTTACTCGCACCTGCCACTTCCAGCCAAGGAAATACCCACTGTTCCTTCTGTGACCTAATCCATCAAGAGAAACCATTCCTCCATGCATCCAGCTGTTGTATTCAATAGCTTTTATCTTCATCTCTTCTGGCCAGGAAATGTTATTTGACATTACTGACCCTTCCCTCTAGCTCCAGCCTCTCTTGGCGACTGCAGGAAGGTAAACTTTCTGCTCCTATCTCTCTGCTCTTTTTCTCTTCGCTGGTTTTCTTACTCTGCCCACTGCTTGCTAGTCTCCCATAATGCCTGTGCTCTTCTTCCTCTATACTGTCTAACTTGAATGTCTTGTTCTCCCTCTCCTGCTTTGCTGTCACTTCTCTGCAGAAAACACCGTCTCCATTCTTACATCTCTTTTTTTTAAAAATAATTTGTTTTTGGTTGCACTTAGTTTTATTGCTGCATATGGGTTTTCTCTAGTTGCAGACAGCAGGCTTGTCAGTGTGGCTTCTGTTGTGGAGCACAGGCTCTAGGTGTGCACTTCAGTAACTGCAGCATGCGAGCTCAGTAGTGGCTCGTGGACCCTAGAGCACGCAGGCTTCAGTAGTTGTGGTGTATGGGCTTAGTTGCTCACGACATGTGGAATCTTCCTGGACCAGGAATCGAACCCATGTCTCCTGCATCAACAGGCAGATTCTTACTCAGTACACCCCCAGGGAGGTCCATCCACCCTTACATCTCTACACCTCTGCTCCAGATGCAAATTTCCTATTAACTCTGTAACATGCCCATCCATGTTATTGTGAAATCCTAACTCAGCATATCCAGAACCAGACACATCATCTTTCTGAGATAAATGCTTAGCGCCATACCTGGCACATGACAGGTACTCAAAGAGAAGGTACTGTTTCCCTGTTCTCCATCTTCCCCATTGGGGAAGTCTTCCTAAAATGGTTTTAACAATGTCTTTCTGCTTTTTTATGTTCTATGGCCCACCTCTGCCTAACAAAACATGAGGCAACCCCTACATTCAAGATCTGACATTCAAGACTCCGTAAAAGGACACCACCACAGGCTTATTTTACCACGCCCCTGCTTATGCTCCAAACTGCCTTTTTGCTGGTCATCTGCCTGTTTCTCTCACTGCTCTGCTCTGGACTTCAGGAAGTGATATTTCCGAGATGCCAAATTGACTTTCCAGTGAGTCACTGACCTGAGATGAGGACAGAAAAAGGGAAGAGGGTTATTTCTCTCCCTGTCTGGCTTGGGTTGGGTTGCAGCTCTGCCATTTCCCAGCTCCCACCAGGCAATTCCCCACCACTGGATACCTCAGGATTCTGGGTTCTGGGAACACCACCTCTTCCCCTGTCCCACTGGCACTAGGGGTGATAAGAGGTTTCCTACTGTTGGAATTTCTGGGTTACCTATACTTTGATCACCTATGTGACAGTTCCCCATATTACATTCCCTAAAGTGATGTGTCTTTCTGCCTGGACCCAACTGACAGATTTCAACCAAACCAAACTAGCTGATATTCAATGTTAGGTTACTCAACATATACCACGTTCTATGCACACTAGCTACTGTGCTGGATACAGTAAGTTTTCACCTTTTATTTCTGTTCACATGGTTAACTCCCCCTAGAGTATTCTCCTTGCCTCCAACCCCCCTAACAAACTACTACTAACCTTTCAAACCCATTCAGAAACCAGTACTTTGAGCATCTTCTCTGTGCAAGGCAATAGGCCAGGGGCTTGGGGTGCCCAGGGAAGGAATAAGACCATCCCAGGCATCAGTGAGCTGATGCTCTACATTTCTTCATAAAACATTTTTTGTTTTTTCCCCACCAGTACATGCATTCTTGGAATTCCCATTTGACTCTTATTTTTACTTTGTTTTTAATAAACACTATAGCACTTACTATGCTGCACTTAATATGCCAGCAAATTTGGAAAACTCAGCAGTGGCCACAGGACTGCAAAAGGTCAGTTTTCATTCCAATCCCTAAGAAAGGCAATCCCAAAGAATGCTCAAACTACCACACAATTGCACTCATCTCACACACTAGTAAAGTAATGCTCAAAATTCTCCAAGCCAGGCTTCAGCAATACGTGAACCGTGAACTTCCAGATATTCAAGCTGGTTTTAGAAAAGGCAGAGGAAGCAGAGATCAAATTGCCACCATCCACTGGATCATCAAAAAAGCAAGAGAGTTCCAGAAAAACATCTAATTCTGCTTTATTGACTGCCAAAGCCTTTGACTATGTGGATCACAATAAACTGGAAAATTCTGAAACAGATGGGAATACCAGACCACCTGACCTGCCTCTTGAGAAACCTATATGCAGGTCATGAAGCAACAGTTAGAACTGGACATGGAACAACAGACTGGTTCCAAATAGGAAAAGGAGTACATCAAGGCTGTATATTGCCACCCTGCTTATTTAACTTATATGCAGAGTACATCATGAGAAACGCTGGGCTGGAAGAAGCACAAGCTGGAATCAAGATTGCCAGGAGAAACATCAATAACCTCAGATCTGCAGATGACACCACCCTTATGGAAGAATGTGAAGAGGAACTAAAAAGCCTCTTGATGAAAGTGAAGGAGGAGTGTGAAAATGTTGGCTTAAAACTCAACATTCAGAAAACTAAGATCATGCATCTGGTCCCATCACTTCATGGGAAATAGATGGGGAAACAGTGGAAACAGTGTCAGACTTTATTTTTGGGGACTCCAAAATCACTGCAGATGGTGATTGCAGCCATGAAATTAAAAGACGCTTACTCTTTGGAAGGAAAGTTATGACCAACCTAGATAGCATATTAAAAAGCAGAGACATTACTTTGCCAACAAAGGTCTATCTGGTCAAGGCTATGGTTTTTCCAGGGGTCATGTATGGATGTGAGAGTTGTACTGTGAAGAAAGCTGAGTGCCGGAAAATTGATGCTTTTGAACTGTGTTGTTGGAGAAGACTTGAGAGTCCCTTGGACTGCAAGGAGATCCAGCCAGTCCATCCTAAAGGAGATTACTCCTTGGTGATCACTGGAAGGACTGATGTTGAAGCTGAAACTCCAATACTTTGGCCACCTCATGCAAAGAGTTGACTCACTGGAAAAGACCCTGATGCTGGAAGGGGTTGGGGGCAAGAGGAGAAGGGGACGACAGGATGAGAGGGCTGGATGGCATCACTGAGTTGATGGACATGAGTTTGAGTAAACTCTGGGAGTTGGTGATGGACAGGGAGGCCTGGCGTGCTGCGATTCATGGGGTCACAGAGTCAGACATGACTGAGTGACTGAACTGATAGCACTTGCTAAGTGCCAGGCACTTTCTAAGGACTTACAACTTATTTTATGTAACCATTATGTATGTATGTATGAAACGTACATACATATATAACAATTTAGGTAACCTTTAGGTAAACCTAGGAGATAAGTCCTACTATTATCCTCATCATTTTATTAATGAAGCAACCGAGGCACAGAGAAATTAAGTAACCTGCCTAAAGTCACAGAGCTAATATGTATAATTCTGTTCCACCTTCATTTTAGCTAGGCACTATAGCTGTGTGCATACCTATTTCTGCATCACCAGCAGAAACTGCTGGATTTTTTTCCCTTTCTTTTACAGTTACAGAACATATGATTTTTAGCTGGGAATGGTCCCACCTTTCCATGGGATGTGAATGAACGTGGTTTGTGCAACTTCTGGGAGGTGTCCTCAAAGAAAGGTGAGCTTGAAATGAGGCTCCGTCCCTTTACCTTCTCCCCACTAACTAGTATGCTAACCTGATGGCAGGGGCAGCAGCTATCATCTTGGACCATGAGGTGGAAGTTGCATTTTGAAGATGGAAGAATGAGGAGCCTGGGTCTCCTGATCAAGTAGCTGCCATAGAAGGTAGATGAAGTTGTAAAATATTTTTTTAAATTTTTTGATACAGAAAGCCTCAGATCAAGAGGAAGCTGGAATGAAAGCTCCCTGAGTCCCTGGTCATCTGTACTGGCTATAGGTGGCATTAAGATAGGAATGTTTCCACCTTTGGGGCAGAGCTCCCACTTTGTCAATACCTTCCTGAATTCTGAGTGTGTGAGGCAGAGCAGTGAAAGAGGGCACAGAGGAAACAGGTCCTCAAACATGGAAACATAATTTTCCCTTTTCCATCTTCATGCTGTAAGCTCTGCCCTCTTCCCGCTTACCTCAGAAGAGCAGACACTCTTCCATCATGCTCAGGCTAATCTTTTCACCTTACCCCCATAACATTTTTGCACCTCAATTTTATCATCTGTAAAATGGGGAGATTTTGTACTTTTTAGGATTGGGGGGATAATTTAATGGCAAGGGTTAAATAAAGTTATCCTGAAGCAGGTGTTTAGAAAAATGTGAGATGTCTTCTTTTGCCTCTTGACTCGGTCCTCCTCAAGAGGAAACTTACTCCATCAGCTTTTGGAGATAATGCTTCTTCTTGGATTTCTTCCTATTAATACCTCCCTGGCTACTCTTTATGTTCTCTCTGAAGAACTCATTCTTTGACTATCCTTCAACTGTCTATGCTCTGGGTTTTTGTCTTCAACCCTCATCTCTCCATACACCATCTACACTCCCCCTGCATGACCTCACATGGTCCAGAGCTTCAAGTGCCATCTGTAGGTGAATTAATTTTAAATCTCAAGCCTAGATCAGCCTCCTGGGCTCTAGACCTTCTCTTTGTTCCCTCTTTCCCTAAATACCTACTTTCCTTTTAGTCCTTTCATTCACTAAGTATTTACTGAGAGCTTCCTATGTACTTGGCATTGCATATCAACTGCCACTGTACATCTTTTCCAGGATGTTCCACAGAGACCTCAGGCTCAACACATGCAAATATGAACTTGACCCACTTCTCTGTCTCCTTTGTGACTGTTTCAGCATCCACCCATAGTCCCTGGTTAGAAATGGGAGTTTTTTCCTGACTACCCCTGCTCCTCTATATATCACTTAATTCATCAAGTCCCGTCAATTTGGCTTCCTTTAATATCTCTCAATTTGTATACTTATCCCTCTCTCCAAATCACCTCCCTAGTTCCAGCCCTCATCATTTCCTTACCTAGATGACCTCAACAGCCCTGAACTGGTCATCCAGCCTCCCATCTTGGGCTGTTCCAGCTTTGGATCTATAATTCAGAGGGCTGACACAGAACACACATCTGAACACACATCCAAACCCACAGCTGATATCCTCACTGATGAAAAGCTGAAAGCATTCCCTCTAAGATCAAGAACAAGACAAGGATGCCCACTTTTGCCACTTTTATTCAACAAACTAATAGTTTTGGATATCCTAGATACAACTATCAGAGAAGAAAAGGAATCCAAATTGGAAAGGAAGAACTAACACTGTCACTGTTTGCAGGTGACATGATACTATACACAGAAAACCCTAAAGGTGCCACAAGAAAACTACCAGAGCTCATCAATGAATCAGTAAAGTTGCAAGATACACAACTACTATCTAGAAACCTGTTCCATTTCTATGCACTTAACAACGAAATAGCAGAAAGAGAAATTAAGGAAACAATCCCATTTACCATCACATCAAAATGAATAAAATACCTACCAATAAACTTACCAAAGGAGGCAAAAACCAGTACTCCAAAAACTATAGACGTAGATGGATGAAAAGATGTACCATGTTCTTGGATCGGAAGAATCAATATTGTTAAAGTGGCTCTATAACCCAAGGCAACCTACAGATTCAATGTGATCCCTATCAAATTACCAATGGCATTTTTCACAGATCTGGAACAAAAAATTTTTAAATTTCTAGGAAACACAGAAGACCCCTAATAGCCAAAACAATCTTAAGAAAGAAGAACATAGCTGGAGGAGTCAGGCTCCTTGACCTGAGACTATACTTCAAAGCTACAGTAATCAAAACAGTATGATACTGGCCCAAGAACAGACACTAGATCAGTGAAACAGAACAGAAAGCCCAGAAGTAAATTCACTCACTTATGGTCAAAATTAATCTACAACAAAGGAAGCAAGAATATTCAGTGAAGAAAAGACAGTCTCTTCAATAAATGGTGCTGGGAAAACAAGGCAGCTACCTGTAAAAGAATGAAAATTAGAACATCTTGAACACCATATAAAAAACTCAAAATGGATTAAAGACCTAAATATAAGACCAGATACCATAAAACTCCTAGAGGAAAAGATAGGACACTTTTGGACATAAATTACAGTAGTATGTTTTTGAACCTGTCTCCTAGAGTAATGAAAATAAAAACAAAAATAAACAAATGGGGCCTAATTAAATTTAAAAGCTTTTGCAAAGCAAAGGAAACCATAAAAGGACAACCTACAGAGTATAAAAAATATTTGCAAACAATGTTACCAAGAGATTAATTTCCAAAATATACAAACAGCTCATACAGCTTAAGAAGATCAAAAACAACCCAATCAGTATATGGGCAGAAGACCTAAACAGATATTTCTCCAAAGAGGACATACAGATGGCCAACAGTCACATGAAAAGATGCTTAACATGGTTAACTATTAGTAAAAGCAAAAAAAAACCTACAGTGAGGTGTCACCTCACACCAGTCAAAATGGCCATCATTAAAAAGTCTACAAATAATAAAATGTTGGAGAGTGTGTGCAGAAAAAGGAATTCTACACAATGGGGGAAATGTAGGTTTGTGTAGCCACTGTGGAGACCACTAAAGAGGTTCCTTAAAAACTAAAAATAGAGTTGTCATATGATCCAGCAACCCCACTCCTGGGCATATAACTGAAGAAAACTCTAACTTGAATTAACATACATGCATCCAGATGTTTACTAGTGCTGTTTACAATAGCCAAGACATGGAAGCAACCTAAATGTCCACTGACAGATAAATGGATAAAGAAGATGTGGTATTCACATACACACACATGATGGAATATTACTCAGCCATAAGAAAGAATGAAATT